CACAATAAGAATAGCAATTTTACCATCCTTATAGTGTTTGTGGAAGAGTGTATGATCAGTCTGTGCTTAAATGAAGCTTCTTCCTTTGACAGCTTGTGTGAATTTGTCAAACCATTCTCTAGGAGATTGTTTCAACCCATATATAGACTTTTTTAGTTTACACACTGATCCATTTCCCTTTTTAAAGCCAGGTGGAGGATCCATATAGACCTCTTAATGTAAATCACCATTTAGGAACGCATTTTTCACATCTAACTGTTGGAAAGGCTAATCTAGGTTGGCAACAAGTGATAAGAGAACTCAGATGGTATTGACCTTAGCAACTAGGGCAAAAGTCTTGTGATAATCTATTCCATGAGTCTGCGTGAGCCCTTTTGCAACCAATCTTGCTTTGTATCTGTTGATGCTATTATATGCATTGAATTTTATTGTAAACATCCATTTGCATCCTACTGCTTGTTTTCCGTTTGGTAGGGTCACTATCTCCCAAGTTCTATTTCTTTCTAAAGCATTCATTTCTTCAAGGACAATATCCCTCCATTTTTTATCATTGAGAGCCTCATGTATATTTCTCGGTATCTTTGTACTATCCAACATAGTATTGAAAGCATGGAACCCTGGGGACAACTTTTTATATGAAATATGATTAGAAATAGGATGAGTAGTACAAGATCGAGTACCTTTTCTAAGAGCAATGGGCAAGTGTAGATCATTTTCATCATGGCACTCAAGTGTTGGGGTGTTGGAACTAGAACTTGGTTCAGAATACTGGCAGTGTAGAGGCTTTGGGTTATTCACACTTTGAGAAGGCTTTCGCTTGCTATAAATTTGTCCCCACTTTGAGGAGGCTCCTGATCGTGAAGATTCTGTAGCTCCCCCTGTTTCCAATAATAGAGGTAATACTGTGGCATCAGTAGGTTCCCATGACTGATCTTCGTCTGCTCCTATAGACTCCCCCTGAAGAGAAGTCAAGGGAAAGAAAGGTTGAGTCTCAGAAAAGGTGACATCCATAGAGACAAAGACCTTACAAAGAGAGGGTGAATAACATTTATAGCCACGTTGAGTAGGAGAATAACCAATGAAGACACACCGGAGAGACTTAGGATCAAGCTTAGACCGTTGATGAGAGGGAATATGGACAAATACAACGCAACCAAATAACTTGAGAGGTAGGGAGGAGATGCCTCGAAAAGAAGGGAAGGTGTGGAAAAGACTAGAAAGAGGAGACTGAAAGTTGAGAGTGCGAGGTGGCATTCAATTGATCAGGTACAAGGCATTGAGAACGGCTCCCCCCCAAAGATATTTAGGAACACTCACAGTGAACATAAGAGCCCGAGCAACTTCAAGGAGATGTCGTTTTTTCTTTTTCGCATCTCCGTTTTGTTGGGGTGTGTCAGGACATGAGCTTTGGTGAAGGATGCCATGCTGGGAAAGATATTATCCAAGAATAGAGTTAAAATACTCTTTGCCATTATTTGTACGAAGAATTTGTATAGCAACTTTGAATTGGGTTTGAACCATGGCATGAAACTTTTTAAAAATGGATGCAGCATCTGACTTATCCTTTAGAAGGTATACCCAACAAACTCGGGAATGGTCATCAATAAAGGTAATGAACCATCGAGCACCTGAAATATTTTTTATACGGGTTGGTCCCCATATGTGACTATGAATTAAAGAAAACGGGGATCGAAAAATATCTATTTTATTTTTCTTTCCATTAATTTTTTTCCCCAGTGACATTCGTATTTTCATTATAATGGAGAAAAAGTAATTTGATTGGTATGATCCACGGGTTACTCAAATATGCATTAAAAAATATCAATTTTTTTGAAAAGAAACCAAATTCCAGATTCGATCTAGAACGATTTAGTATTTCTACATTCATTTCCATCCAATCAAAATACTTTCTAGTCATATTTTTTCCCTTCTTTATAATAGCATCTTCCGCTTTATAATTCTTGATAGAGATATTACCCATAATATCAAATAACTTCTGTTTATGTGTATTGTAATTATAAGAAACTGCTTGCTTTTTTTTTTTTTGCTTGGAATGGTGATCTCTATCCAGAAATATATGAGTCCTTATTATCTGCTTATTAATAGATTTATAAGATAAAAATTCATATCCATATTTTTTTTAATGTTAATAAGTCTACTTGTTTTTTTGGAAAGAATTAGTCGAGTTTTTTTTCATATGAATCAAATTTAGCTAAATCTTTATATTTTGAGCCATATGACTTTCATGGTGAGCTTTAGAAGGATAATGAATACGAGTATGCTTGACAAGTTGACAAATATCACAAGAGAACAAATTAGGACTTTTATTAATAAATAAGTTTGGTAACAACTTCTGAAGATAGGTAAAATTGGGATGGCCTAGCCTTCGGTGCCACAACATAACATCATTACATGAATCAAAAGGAAACATAAGAGTCTTTTCCACAAAAACAACTTCATTAGTCACATCCTCCTCAAAGTAGTAAAGTCCACCATCTTCTCTAGCACTGCCAATCATCCTATCCGAGTCCAATTCCTGAAAAAACACAACCATGTGGAAAAAATTTAGCAAAACAATGCAACTCAGAAGTCAGCTTGCTAATGGAAATGAGATTGCAAGGCAGAGAAGAAACATGAAAAATTGATGTTAAATTAATATGCTCAGAAAGTTTAATGGTTCTGTGTCCTGCAATCTGGGAGAAACTGCCATCGAGAGGGTTTAGAGTATGGAGTGTAAGAACAAAATAAGGTTAGATTACCTGTCATATGGTCAGAGGCTCCAGAATCAAGGATCCAACGATTTTGACTATCAACATGGAAAGCTATACCTTGCTGGGCCACGTTACTAGTGGCCTTAGGAGGTTGAGTCAGAAGTCTCTGAAGTTGTTCAAATTGAGTCTTGCTGGTAAACACACCATCAGAGTAAGAGGATGCACGGGGCTCATCAACCTTGTCATCAGTAGAGACCTACTATGCACAATCTTTATTTTGCCCTTTTGGCTTCCAATTTGCAGGTTTCCTGTGGATTTCCCAACATTTCTCACGGGTCTGACTAATTTTATTGCAGTGGGTGCACCATGGATGATCATCCCGTTTTTATTCTCCAGAGGAACGGTCAATGGTACATTTGGCAGCCAATGCAGACATATTGTCAGATTTATCAATTGATTCATTTTCTCCCAGCATAACTCTCCTTCTACCAGCTTCTCTCCGAACTTCAGCAAAGACATTAGCAAGTGAGGGTAACGGTCCCTGTCCCAATATTCGACCACGAACCTCATCAAGATCTCGATTGAGGCCAGCAAGGAAATCATAAAGTCGTTCCTTCTCCAAGTGTTTTTTAAACTGGGTATTAACTTCCAATCCTTTAAGGTTGGATGCATAATAAAGATCCAGTTTCTGCCACAAATTTGTTAGTGCAGTAAAATTTACAGTTCAAAGACTTGAGAGGTATTCTCCAGATCTGAATAATTTTGTTGAACAGCATCCCAAATCTCCTTGGCAGTATCAAAGAACAAATAGGTTTGGCGAATCTGTGGTTCCATGGAATTAGTCAGCCACGCCATTACCAAGGAATTATTAATCTCCCAATTTTCATAATCAGGAGCATCGTCAGCAGGTTTCATAATTTTCCCCTCAAGGTAACCCATCTCACCTTTTGCTCGGATGACCAACTTAATAGATTGAAATCATTGCAGAAAATTCTTACCGTTCAATTGGTGACTAGTGATTTGCATACCTAAGTAGTCTCCAGAGGACTGAAAATTTGGGGCTGATGAGGAAGCGGAAGAACGATATGAGGAAGCCATGAATAAAGAGAGAAGGTTTGACTGTGGACTTGAAAAATCAAGTTGTTCCGATTTTAGATCTGACCATTGGAATAGGTAGAGAAAGAGCCGACGAGATGATTTGGGCAGGTTGCGTCGGAAAAAACTTCCGGGAAGGTGGCGCGTGGGCTACACGCGCCGGAGAGTGACCGCGTGTGTGGAGGCGCGTGAGATGTCTGACGACTATGGGTCCGTTGGCGTTCAGCTCGTCGGAGTCTTTTGAGTTGAATGGTTACTCCACCTTCTTGATTGGAGGTTTGTTGGTATGGTTTCTGGTAGGGGTGTCAATATAGGTTTTGACACGCGGGTCGACTCGCGACACGACACGACACGAAAATTCGTGTTCGGGTTGACCTGCAAAAAAATTCATGTCGTGTTCGTGTTGACCCGTATTTTTTTTAAATTATTTTATTTTTAATTTATTATTATTATTTTTTTAATTTTTTTTAATTTCGATCTATTTTTTTAAATTTTTTTTGTCAATTACCGTTTTGACCCCTATTTTGCGTGTTATTCGTGTCGTGTGGTGTCAACGCGTAAAAAATTCGTGTCGTGCCAGTGTTGAAGATTTTGACACGAATAAAATTTCGTGTCGTGTTAGTGTTGATGTATTCGTGTCGTGTCGAATTCGTGTCGTGTCAACCCATTTTGACACCCCTAGTTTCTGGGATTTGGCCGAGGTTGGTTTGTGTTTGGATGATTTTTGGGTAGTGTTTGAACTGGTTTCAGCCTTGAGGGTGGCTGATCTAGAATAGAAACAAACCCGCTCTTGATACCATATTGAAATATAAAAAGAATTGTTTTTTTTTTCTGAATTGATACAAATGATTTACACTGATAAGGAGATTTATATAAAAGAGAATGAGGAAGAATTGATAAGGATGACTCAACAATGAGTCATTATCCACTAATTAATAGAAAATAAAAACGGAAATATTTTTAATCTAATTTCCTACCGTGATCGACAATTCCCCATAAAATAAAACTGTAAGCTTTTTGTAACTTTTGTATGCATGTTGCAATTTAGATATCTTGAAGTTATACATTGTTAAAAAAAGAGATATAATATAGATGTAGAGCGCCATTCGGGATGTTTAATGCTTCAAAATTAGTCATTTATGTTGTTTTTGGTGGCATTAGTATATGCATGAAAGTTTTTTCGTCTTCTTGTAGAATGAGCTGGATTATTGTGGAGAAGAGCCATCCATGTCACCTAGAGCACCACCACAACACCAGCAATCACAACCCGTAATGCCGGTCACCAGTTCAGGCATTCCAGTCACTTCAGGATCTTCTGGCCAAACAATTGCCGGGCAGGGACTCCGCTCGGAGCATTATGAAACTCAACCAAAGAATTCTGTGTTTTCAAACGCTTTGTCAAGCCCTGTGCGTCGAAGTCTTCAACATTATCAAATTGGTGAGGGAGGGTACTACACCAGTGGTCTCTCCATGGGGAATGGAAACCGGAACGCTGAGCCCGGCTTTCTTCACCAGCAAAGCAGGGATTCAACTGCAGTCAGTTCCAATGATTCTGCCATGGATATGCATGCAGATTAGTCTTGTCTACTGGTTTATAGATTGGAAATTCTTAACTGACCACCCTTCTGCAACACCTACAAAAGAAGCCAACAACCATTGGAATTTTCCATGTCTGGGTTTGCTCATTGGATCCTTCATGAAATGATGGGAGGGTGCAGCCAATTCTATTAACCTTTTAGGATGCTTATGTCAACCAAATGAGATTGGTTTGGGGTCTTAAATGTTCTTTGTATAGTTTATTTTTATTTTAAAAAAAATTGGTTAGCTTTTAAGCAATTTATTTTGTACTTTAACTGTTCTATCCCCTTCACCAAAAAGACTACCTTTTCAATGTAGGGGTTGCTTCTATGTGAATTTTCCTATGTAAATCTGTTTTTTCTGCAGATTTTCTGTATGGAAATTTACAGCTTCCATCATTTTTGTTGCTGCCTGCTATGTCTTTCTTTGCTTTTTCGTGTTTTGTTGTAGTGTATTCAAATTTCTTTGAGGGGTTACTAAGAGATGAATGTTTATGGCTTCTTTGTATTTTTTTCCTTTGTTCTTTATTGAGTTTAATCTGTTCAACGTTAATTGTAGTTTTACTAATAGCAAGAATGAGGGCAGCCATCAGGTTGCATTTTATATTCCATTTTAAGGTAAAGATGTTTAACTTTCCCGCACGTGGCATTTTTTTTTCCCTTTTACATGGGTTATTTTAAATTTCATATTTACAATTTTAAGTTTTTGATGTATTAAAAAGTATTCAATGCATGGTTGAATTAGTTTTTATTGATTTAAAAAAATAATCAAATTTTTTTTTTTATCTAAATTATTTTAATTAAAGAATAAATTACTCTAAAAGTACCCCTTATCTTATAAATAAAAAATATAATCCAAACACTTACATTCAAAGTACCTATTGAAATTTATTTACATAAGAAATTTATATAATTTTGTAAGTTATTTATGTATTTCAATATTTTTTATTTCAAATTATGAATTTTAAATTTTTTTATTAATTTAAAATAAGAACTAATGTTTAAATAAGTATAAAAAGTAGTTTACAAATCAATTTTAAAAATTAAAATAAAATTTTGTTAAAAAATAGGGCATTTTAGCCTTTTTATATCATATCATTGCACCATATTGTCCATCTTAAGCACCGAATATGATAATATTATCTATCAAATTACATCAAACATAGGATATGATATGCGCTTATTAGACCGATATCTAGGGCCGGCAAAATGGGCTGAGCCCGCCGGGCTGGCCCGCCCCGCCTGGCAAATGGGGCGGGCTGGGTTGAGTCTTTCAACCCACCACCCCGCCAAACCCGCCAGCCCATATGGGTCAGCCCGCCAAGTCATTTTTTTTTTTTTTTTTTTAGGTTACCCAATTGTTATGTAGCTCCGTATCTTAGATTTCTCTGCTTGCAAGTGGCTTTTTTGAATTGTTGTGGACGGCTCATACAACACTTTGTTACTTGTTTTGTTATTCTATTTTATCCTGATATGATTTTATTTTTTTATTATTATTTTTGGATTGAAAGATCCATATTTATATGCAGATTATTAAACACTGATCTTCTTGGTTTCATAAGCACATTAGGATTTTATACAGATTTTTGTATGCTTTTATGCAGATTTTTTTATGTGATTTTATGCAGAATTTAATTTTTTGTATTTTATTTTTTTATTTTTTTTATTTTAGGCGGGCTGGCCCGTAGCCCGCCAGCCCACTCATAAAACGGACCGGGTTACTCAATTCAACCCATTTTGTCAAAACGGGCCGGGGCGGGCCAGCCCATTTTGGGCGGGCTAGTGGCGGGCCGGGGCAGGCTGGCCCATATTGCCAGCCCTACCGATATCCTTTCTTACTCGAGCCATTTTAAATAGAGAACTACACCCTCACCAAAAAAATAAAAAATAAAAAATAAAAATAGAGAACTATAGGAAGAAATATATATATGATGCTGTTGGATATTCAAGTGTGATTGAGTCTCACATTGATTGATAATAAGTTAAGTGAACACCATATAAATGAGAGGACCTATAAACTCAATGCTTAAGGTTTTGGGTTGAGATACGGTGTTGGATCCACTTGATGTGGTTGGTCTAGCTTAACCTATTGGTGATGATTCCCTGTCATGGACTCCCCCTACCCACCTGACAGTAGTATCAAAGTCAGGTTCGATTATGGTTAGCCAGATGTTTGGCTAGAGGTGGGTTAAGTTTCCGTTGAGGGAAGACATATCAATGTGGGCTTCACACTCGAGGGCAAGATTGTTGGATATTCAAGTGTGATGAAGTCCCATATGTTATGAAGGGGCTTCCACACTAAAGGGGAGGAGTGAATTGAGTATTACAATTTTTTTGCAAATTCCCCCTTGTTTCTAAATTACTATTTCAATCGAACTTTGAAATATGACATGCTTATCAATGCATTCAAACAATCCATTATATATAATCAATCACAATTGTACAACTTATACTAGCATATACAAGATACTAATGAATAAGTAAAGTGCTAGAAAATAAATAATTAAGGGTAGGAATAATGCAAACTCGGTTTATCTTAGTTCGACCACCACCACTTGTGACCTACGTCCAGATTGCTACCACTCATTAGTTTTCTACTATTTCAGCAAGCTTCAATAGGTGCTTGATAAATCACTACAACCACCAAGTTTTCGGGTACTTGGTAACCTTACAACTTCCACCAAATTTATGGGTATTTGGCAACCTTCACAAATCTTCCCAAACTTTCTTAGGGGCTACCTAACCACTAAGGGTCTCACTACCCTTAATCGAAAAATACAAGAAGGAAAATGTTAAGAAATGATATACACTCTCAAAGTATGGATAATACAAATTGAAGCATTATGAATATATTATTTTTCACAAAGAAATGAGCCTAAAGACTTTAAATGATCAAGAATGAGTTATGTAAGTGTAGGAGCAACAAAATTTATCAAGAAAGGCTCAAATAATGATTCAAGATTGTTCAAGATTGTTTAGAGCTGTTGGGGTGAGTACTTTTAAGTTTCCAACAAAATATATCGTTTATCATTGGAACACTTTCTTGAAAGTGCATATCCGAATATATATCAAGGCATGTCTAGATATACCACCCCCACATATTCGGATATGCTACAAAAAATATCTAGATATGCTATAGTAGAAGGCACCCATAGCTCTAATATTGATTCCTTTTGATGTTTCTAGCCATGTGATCACATGTAATTGGAATAGGAAAACTTGTCTATGTATTCGAATTATATTAAAACCATTTCAATTCAATTTTGTTACATCAAACCAAGGAATCAAGCTCTTTTTCAGCATGCAATGTAAAATATGCATTTCTTTTAGTCAAAAAAGAATTCCAATAATGTGAGCATGAGTAATTAGACTGTGTAAGTATGCTTGTGTGCTCAAACCATGTTAAGATAATTTTGATTCTTTTTCGACCTATCAAACCAAGGTTTTAATACAATTTTTCATTATGCAATAATGAAATGCTTGAACTCATGCAATGCAAGCTACCATATACCCTTACATATATGCCTAAGTCCTAAAGGTATAATCTAATAAGATCTTGGGCTTAACTTATTATCTTGGTACTTGGACCTTGGTTCTTCACTTGACTTTTGCACTTGAATTGTTGGATTAATAATATTTGGTCTTTTGTTTGACTTGATATATGCACTCTTTTTTCATGGCTTGTGACATTGAATTTCTCTTGAAGGTTGTTCATAGTTTGTTGCCTTTGATTGTAGTTTTGTTCTTCTCATTCTTCCTTGTTTCCCTTCACCTTTGCTCTCGGTTCATTGCTAGCTTTCTTCAAAACTCATCCATGTTCTTGCCACTTTGATATGTCGTTATTCTTCTTGTGTGGTTCTATCATATATCTTCAATCTTCACATAAGCATGATGTTTTTTGCTCTCGATTAAGATTCCTTTCTTTTTGTTATTAACTTTTTGTTATCATCAAAATGTCTCTTCTATATATACCATATTGGTTGGGAATAGGCTAAATAAAAACCATATAAGTGGGAGGACCCATGAACCCATTGCCTTAAGGTTTTGGGTTGAGACATGGTGTTAGATCCACTTAATGTGGTTGATGTAGCTTAGCCCATTGGTGGTGGTCCCCTACCATGACCTCCCCCTAGCCCATATGACAGTGGTATTAGGGTTGTTTTGTTGAAGAGGAGCATATCAATGTGGACTTTACGCTTGAGGGGGAGATTGTTGGAATATTCAAGTATGATGGAGTCTCACATTGGTTGGTAATGGACTAAGTGTAGTCTATATACGTGGGAGGATCCATGAACCTAATGTCTTAAGATTTTTGGTTTCACATGGTGTCAAACCCACTTGCGACGATTAGTTTAGCTTACTTTATTGGTGGTGGTCCTCTGCCATGGGCTCCTCTAGCTCGCCTTATAGTGGTATCTGAGTTGAATTTAGCTCGAGCTAGCCAAGTGTTTGGATAAGGTTGGTTGGGCTTCCATTGAGGGGGAGCATATCAATATGAGCTTCACACTTGATGGGGAGATTGTTGGTGGTGAAGTTTCAAATTGGATGGTAATGGGCTATTTTACGATTATATAAACAGAAGGACCCATGAACCCAATGCTTTAAGATTTTGGGTTAAGATATGGTTACAAACTCACTTGATGTGGTTGATCTAGCTTAGTCCATTGGTGGTGGTCTCATGTCATAGGCTCCCTCTGGCTTGCCTGGCATATGCAACCTTTTAGATTTGAAAACGCTAACATAATTTTGTAAGTTCCAAAAGACTCTTTATGGGTTGAAACAAGTCCAAAAACTTGGTCTAAAATAATTGCCAGCACATTGCACATATTTAGATTTGAATCTAATAAATTTGATCCTTATTTTTTTATCAAGTTCAATGACCAAGAATGCTTACTGTAACACCTTCCCTTGTATGCATCCAAGAGAGTTGTTTGCTAAGCGGAATTAGAGTTTTTGACGTCATTACTTTGATACTGAAAAATCATTTTGATGTTGCTAATTAAAACTTATAATTGAAATCGAGTCACTTACAAAAATCAGAGTGCACTATCAAATTTCTTAACTTGCTGAAAATATTATTTTCCTGGCATACATTGCTGTCTTGAAAAATTAGTATAAAATCAAGTTCAACGATTCAAAAAAATCTTCTTTGTTATTTAGAAACTAGACATCTGGGGCTTCGCGTGCATATAAATTATACGCGAATCGGAGTAGAATAGCCCCATGAAATAGAACTCGTAAAGTACTCAAAACTCGGTGTGTTTTTTTAGAAACCTCCTGACTTGTAAAAATCATAATAATTCGAGTTTTCAAAATTTAATTGTAAGGTTTACATAATATAAAAGTACACAACTGGGGCTTTTCATACATATAAAATATACCTCATTCGGAGGTCTGTAGCCCCAGAACGACAACTCGCAAGGTGCTCGCAAAATTGGTTTAAAAATCAGCACTTAATGAATATTCAGAAAAATATAATTCGCAAAACGTTTTTAGAATTTACTCAAAGCACTAACTGATCATAAAAATCTTAAGATAACAGTAAAATCATAGTTCAACAGTTAATCCAAGCTTCTCAAACTAATACAACCATCTATCAAATAAAACAGCAACAACATCAAGTCCAAACAGCAAAATTTAACAGCAAAGATCCAAATAATCCATGTCCTCATATGCTTTTGCGTCCTCCTCCCATTTTATAAAAATAGCAGCCCCAAAGGCGTGAGAAAAATCTCAGTAGTGTGGCAATAAAACCAATACAACAACAATATTAGACTAGGTACAAAATTTCAAAACAGTCGCATCAATATTTAATTTTCCGAACAAATGCTAATATATAATCAGAGTGCGTTATAACGCCAAAGTACTAATCATATAATGCCAAAATACTAATCAAGATGCGTATATAACGCCAAAGAGTACGTTCATAGCACCGTCGTGCACGTACTAACAAGCACAGTGGAGGTCCCTCCCTTAATGGCTCCTCAGAGGGTTCCAACTGCAACCTATGCGGACTGAAGCCAAGTGTCCCATACCCTGGTACCGTAGGGATGCTTATATGATGTGTGCTCAATCACACACACACATATATATATATATATATATATATATATATATGCTTCAGTTTCTAAATGGATAATCAATGCTATGCTTTCACACACAAAGCAGAAAAATAAATGCGGTATGATATAATTGTGCATGACTAAATCATAATCATATAGCATATATCTCTTGCCCATATAATACCAAGCTGCCGAATAACAAACACTTCCATAGGCAGAATTTTCCATCAATACAAGTCCAAGGGCAGATTCCATATATCATATAACATACAACAGAATACTAATCATAAGGCACATGTGAACATCAGTTCAAAATTCCATACACTAGCTAATAGTCACAGTAGGTCTCACTACCAAACACATACCTCGAGTCTTTAACATTTTTTTTTATCAAAACAGCCCCCAAATCCATCCGGCATCCTTGAGGTTTATGAACCTAATCAAAATACCAAACAAATTTTCTTTACTTCCATTTATTACAAAACACAAGATTCCATTCAGAATTTATACTTCCCGTACCAAGTTCTTTTTCTGATTTTAAGCTACCTCTTTCATGTTTCCAAGTACCGATTTACTCTTTAACTTAATTGTTCAAATCTTTTTCTGATTTAGCTTAATTTCTTATAGGTTTAGTCATGAACAAACCAAACGTTCCTCTATATCCAACATGTACGGCTTTTAGGCCCTTCTTTAGTGCATTCACTTTCTATTAACAAACACCACCCACTTGACTTAAGCATGAACAAATAAGTCATATACATGTTGTTTTCTTACAGGACTAGGGTACACTATGAGGATTCGGTTTTGACTAGATATCATATGCACAAAATTAATTTATTTTCATAACATTTCCTATCATGCTTAAGGTTGTGGAACAAGGTCTTAAGCAAGCAACACATACAGTCTTAGGACGACAATGTTTAACCAGTTTCAATAACCCAAGAACCGATTCTAATAATATTAGGGGGTTATATTTCCAAGTTCCCTAACATCAATTTCGACTTACAGTACCAATTTCAAGTCTGTTTAAACAGAATTAAAACATGCACAGTACCAATTTTTTTTTCTCACTCGTCTTCCTCTTCTTGCTCTTGATTATCTTCATAGCTGAGAAAGCTATTTCAATAGTGTGGAACCAATGCACTCCATGAAAAGAATATAAAGGTTCAACGATTTCGATGATAACAAACAAGCATGGAAAGAAAGCTTCAAGGAGCAACCATAAAAAAGAAGTCTAAACAAGATCAAGACTCAAGCTTCAAGAGACGTCACTAAGTCCAAACTCAGAGTAATATACTGTAGGACTTAGAATTATTTGTAAATTGATTCTTTACAAGAATGAAGCTCAAAGTTTTTTTTAAATACATGCATTAAATCATCGTTTGACATTCAAATACATTCTTAACATAAAAACATACTTTTCAATGTTCATAAAATGTTCAAACAATATTTGAAAATGATGTGAATCAAGAGAAAACCATTTTTAGGGCGAAAACCAACCTTTCAACAGGTTGGTAATCGATTACCAAACAATGGTAATCGATTACCCTTCATGGTAATCAATTACCCTTCATGGTAATCGATTACCCACTCAATGGTAATCGATTACCTACTGTACAGAGACAAAAATAACGGATATAAAACGGCTAGTTTGCGAAAATGAGTAGGAAAAAGGCCATGGGGGCCCTCTATAAATAAAGACTACTGTTCCCATTGATAGGACACACTTATTGATCATCATTACTCATTAATTCTCATCCTATTTGCCTTATTCTTGTCTTCTTGATCATAAATCCTATTTGAGCTTTATTCTTGTGAGAGTGTCATATATCATTGTTCTTCAACTTGTGTTATTTGTACTTTAAGAGTACTTAGCCATTATTAAACACCTTCCTTGATTACTTGAGTAGCTAGGGGAGTGAACCCTACACACTTGAAAGGTCACCAAATTCCTAAGAAAATTTGGAGTGAAAAAGTGTAAGGCATCAAGAGCCCGAAGTCTTGAAAAGTTGTAGTGGTTTGTCAAGCACCCTCAAGCTTGATAGTTAGTGAAAAGAATTGATCGAGCGGCTTCAGTCTGGACGTAGGTCACGGTGGTGATGACCGAACCAGGATACATCTAGTTTGCAATTTCTCTAACCTTAATCCTTTTTTTAAGTATTAAAATTGCGTCTTAGATTGTGTTTATATATTCACTTGCTTACTTTGTTGATCACTACACTTGCTTTTACTATTAGACACTTCTTTATTAAATCACTTTATTGAAGAAATAGTCTGTAAAACATCAAAGGAGGTACTTTGCGAAAAGATTTTGTAAAACTCAATTCACCCCCCCTCTTGAGTATTGAAGCCACCTGTCCAACAAATAGTTGCTGTAGAAACTGGGAGAGTGAGTACAAGTCTAATCACTCTATCAATAAGAGGATAAATGATGGACTTTCGAGTTCTTGTCAACCCTTGACATAATTCAGATGTAGTTGATAAAATATTCAAATCTGGATGTTTAGGAATGTCAATCTCAAAATGCTGTAACTCCATCTTCAAATGCAATTTTTCCTGTTATGTGAAATCTCTAGAATGAAATTTATCAACAAGTTTGCAAATATCATCACTATTAAATGACTTATAACCATTTCTTGGATCTAAAGCCATGCTCAAAGTAAGTAATTCAATAGTATTATCATTAAACCTAGTATTTAATTCTTACAATCGATAATCAATTGTAGCATAAAAGATATTTACTCTATAAAATTTTTCGTAAAAAAATTACCTTGTTCATTTCGAGCACGACCTCTCATTCCAATAAATTTTGCACTCATATCTGGAATGTCAATGTTATGTTTTATGCAAAATTTTTGCACGAACCAAGAAAATATCCCAACATTAAAAGAACAATTGAATTTGTTAAAATAAAAACAAATCCACTGCACTGTATTGTTCAGAGTGTCAAATTAATCAACTTACTTGACCCTAAAAGGAAGTAAAACCCTCCAAAACAAGAACTCCCAAAAGATGAGTCACCTAACATTTATAAAGATGGAAAAAAAATATCAAAATCGAAACTTGTTCAATATTGACATACCCAAATGACCAAACAAGATTTAAATAAAAATAAAAAAACCATGAAAGTAGAAAGTAGAAAAGAACGACCTTGTTGATGAAACTTTTGTGTTCTACAGCTTGTTTGGCAAGCTTAACAGCTTGTTTGGACAAGACTCCTTCATTTTGAGCCAAAATAAAACCAAACCCATACAATCAAAAACGAAAACAGATATAGTCATGCATGGAAATCAAATAAAAAATAATGCTTTGAACTTTGAACATAATGTACCTTGGACCTATCCCTGAACCTACACTTCGATTTTGCAGAGGATTCGCTGTCTGTATACACTGCATCAACAACGACGGAGGCCAAAGACACCAAAGTTGCGGTAGTTGTAAGAGACACGCTTACGTGTTAGAGAATTTGATTTGGGATTTGGATCGATTCAGGAACAAATTTTTTTTTTATCAGATCTTTGCCTCTTTTATTTTGGGGTTTTCGGTCATTCATATATTCAGCAAAAGAAAAAATAAAATAAAATAAGAGTAAAACTTCAAAGGAATTTTATGAAAATGTAACTTTAGGATAAATAATACTATACAGTAATATTACAAAAATACCATTTTGCATATATAATTATTTTTTTCAAATTTTATTGGGCCAGCAGCCCACTGTAGCCCCCCTTATGTTCCTCTCTAGATATTAAAGAGGCACACTATGATGATTTAACATATAAACATAATTATATTATTATAATAAACCTTGATTTATAATATAACAAATTTCAATCCTAATTTTCAGATTAAAAAGTTTAATATTTATCTTCTTAAAACTTTTTTATATTAGAAAAATTTCAAGTAAGACAAGCCAGCAAAAGCAGTCATTGTACAATTACCAATAAAATCTTGCACTTGTTAGCGCGGGAGGACACGAATGAATACAATTGAATTTTGTATTTTACTACGCTATATATTACTATTTTCGTCAAAGTCAGTAGTTAATGTATAAAATAAAGGATCCATGACCATGAAAATGGAATATGGGCCCATTCACTACCATGCGCCTTTGTGTCATTATCACTAATTCACTAGATGGATTTTCTGTTGATTAACATGATTATGTTATGAGTAGAAATTCTAGTCCTACCAAATAGAATCAACGGTTGTGATTATGTAATTATTTATTTTTAATTTTTTTTCTTTTTTTTTTTATTGATTTACTTTTGTATGATCATGATTTTCCAACATATTATGATCATGTTAATTAACACGTGAGAGGATCCACTCCCATTCAGTTTTAAAATAATTTGAAAGCAAATAAAAAATAAATATAAAAAGAGTTTTTTTTTCTTTTTATTCCTCTTTCAATTCAATTCCTCGCCGAGTTATTATCGGAATGCTGTAGCCGCCGATTCGCCGACACTAATTTGGTACTGCGAATTCGCTTCTTCTTCCTTGATTTCAATTTTCCGTTTGTTTCCCGAGAAAATGAATTAAACTGGCACTTTCTATTCTCGCTTTTACGTTTGTTACATTCTCTGTGTATGGAACTCAGTGGAGTAACCAAAACACCGTTTGAGAATAATTTATCTGAGTTGTCCACTATGTGTAATTTTTTTTCTTTATATTTTGGTCTTCTAGTGTGTTTCTGATTTTCTTTCTCCCTGCATTTACATCGAACTGAAAGGCTTTGATTTTTTTTTTTTAATGATTACTATTATTTTACAAATTTAGCTGTTACTGATTATTTATTTTTGTGAAATTAAGAGATTGTGTATGTGTGTGAGAGAGAGAGAGAGAGAGAATTGCATGCTAAAACATGTTTTGGGTGTTTGTTAATATTTGTTAATTATTTTTGTTTTCTTTTTGTGATGAATCAATAGGAATTGTTTGAGATTTCAAATTTTTTTACCTCCCTAGTGCATGTCCATTGGATTGGTTAAAAATCTATATGACGGTTTAAATTAAAGTGGTTAGGTGTATTGATTGATTGAGTTAAATTTTTATTTAGAACTTGTTCTGAATAATGATTTTGAACAGTTCTGATAATTTTGGCAAAAAACAAAAACTTGATTCCTTTTGGCCCCGTTTTAGCTATTTGAGCTTTTGTAAAACAGTTTGAACACATTATTGGAGCATCAAGAAACAGGGGGAAGTCTTAAAGTGGTTTTAGTACTGTGTTTGTCTTTGTCTTAGGGTCTTCCAAATATGCATCTTAACTGTAATGTGTCTTTGTTATGATGCAAACACTGAGTTGTTCCACTGAGCATATTTATTCTTTTGATATTTGAATTAGTGGAATGGAAAATATTATTAAAAATGTTATTGAAGATTAGTAGATAAATTTTTTGACATGTGGAATGGAAAGTATGCTCTTGGTGACATCTTATTGCTTTTGGATAAAAGGGTGTAATTTTGGTTCTTCTGAGGGTAGGGTGCCATATATAGAAATTGTTTTCTGCTGTGCCGATGAGCAGAACTGATGCTATTGGCTGTAGAAGGAGGAGGATTCTTCTCTTCTTCAGCTTCAAAATATAGTAAGGGCTTTACCACTTTACCCTTCTCTTCTTGGGTCAGGGGAATGATGATAAATCCATGAGAGTTTTGCCGTGGAACCAGTACCAGTTGGTAGACCAAGAATCTGATCACGAGCTCCAGCTGGCTTCAGCAAAGAACCGCCTCTCCAGCAGGTGCGCTTCCTTCGTTTGCTTTGGTCGCGCTTCTGCAGGGTCTGACACTCCATCTCATCTTAAAGTAGGCCCTGCCCAACATCATGATGTCTCACCAGGGCCACTGGTTGCAAACAAGAGCAAGAAACCTTCTGCTCATGTAGATGATGATAATAGAAAGGTTGCACTTAAAAGTAGCTTAAAAAGGAAACAGAATAATAAATCATCTCCAGTTGAGGCTCCGAATGAACATGAGGCATCAGGTGGAAAGGGAAATGATGCTCCTGGTCAAACAGAGAGGAGGAAAGTGCAGTGGACAGATGCTTGTGGTAGTGAGCTTGTTGAAATACGAGAATTTGAGTGCAGGTATTTGAATATTTTAGTTTCTTTATCATTATAAGTGGAAAATTATATCAAAGTGCTGATATTTTTGCTGTTTAGTGTTCTTTATCAGTTTTTCTGTTTCTGTGTTCAATTGTAAAATTTAGAAGGTCTTGTCTCTTGTGTGTCAGATTTTATCATTAGGAACTCCTGGTATTTTATGTAGTGTGATTGATACTGAATCAATTATGCAGCGTTCTCAGTTTCCCCTTTCTTTTATTTTAACTGATCTAAATATCTGATATTTACTATTACACAAGATCTAAGACACTCTTATAAATTTGGCTTGGGCTTGGGAGCAAGGATGGTGAAAGAGGTATTTATAAACTTGCAAGGATAAGGGATGAGAAAAGTAAAGACCTCACTCAAGTTAGATGCATCAAGGATGAAAATCAAAAACTTCTGGTGAGAGATGAAGATGTAAATGAAAGATGGTTAAAATACTTCAACAAGCTGTTTAATGGGGATAGAGATACAAGCGAGGTGGACTTAGAGGACGCGTATGATGATATGAATAGAAGATTTGTACGCAGAATTAATACACATGAAGTTAAGGAGGCTTTAAAGAGGATGAAGACTAATAAAGCCTTGGGGCCTGATGGTGTCCCTATTGAAGTGTGGAGAGGCCTGGGGGATGTGGCAATAAAATGGTTGACCAATCTTTTTAATAAGATTCTCCAGACGAATAAGATGCCTGATGTATGGAGGAAAAATATGATTGTGCCTATCTACAAAAACAAGGGAGATATACAGAATTGTTCAAACTATAGAGGCATTAAGCTAATGAGTCATACTATGAAGTTGTGGGAGAGGGTTATTGAACATCGCTTGAGGAGAGATACCAAGGTTTCTGTAAATCAATTTGGATTTATGCCAGGAAGATGTACCATGGAAGCCATTTTCTTGATGCGACAACTAATGGAAAGATACCGAGAAAAGAAGAAGGACTTGCATATGGTGTTCATAGACCTTGAGAAAGCATACGATAGGGTTCCAAGGAAAGTTTTATGGTGGGTCCTGGAGAAGAAAAAGGTTCCATTAAAGTATCTAAAGGCAATCAAGGATATGTATGATGGGGCTACTACATGTGTAAAAGCTTGTAACGGATCATCAAGTTATTTTCCTATCACGGTAGGTGTACACCAAGGGTCGGCTCTAAGTCCTTACCTCTTTGCCTTAGTTATGGATGAACTAACAAAAGATATTCAAGAGGAAGTGCTATGGTGTATGCTTTTTGCAGACGATATTGTGCTTATTGATGAGAGCAAGGAGGGTGTTAATAGAAAACTTGAATTGTGGAGAAGCACATTGGAATCCAGAGGATTCACATTAAGTCGAAGCAAGACTGAGTATCTGAAGTGTGAGTTTTCTCTGGTACAAGATGAGGACCAAGAACCTGTGCATCTAAATGGTCAAGAGGTACCCAAAAAAAATGCTTTTAAATACTTGGGCTCCATTTTACAAAACGGTGGAGAGATTGATGAGGATGTAAATCACAGAATCAGAGCAGGGTGGATGAAATGGCGTAGTGCATCTGCATTTTTGTGTGACCGCAAAATTCCCCTGAAGATAAAAGGAAAATTCTATAAAACGGCAGTACGACCGGCAATGCTATATGGAGCGGAATGCTGGCCAGCACATAGGCAACATGAGCATAAGATGGGAGTAGCAGAGATGAGGATGTTAAGGTGGATGTGTGGTTACACAAGGATGGATAAGATAAGAAATGAAGATATTCGACGAAAGGTCGGAGTAGTACCGGTAGCCGAGAAGATGAGAGAACATAGATTGAGGTGGTTTGGGCACGTGATGAGAAGACCCATGGATGCTCCTGTAAGAACAGAAGTTTGTTACCAAGAGCTAAACACAAAAAGAGGCAGAGGTAGGCCGAAGCTTACTTGGGGGAAAGTAGTAAAACAAGATTTAATGGAGTGGGATATAGATTGGCGGACAGTATGTCTTAGAAAGGAATGGAGAAAAGCTATAAGTATGGTGGAGAGTTAGACCCGCTGTTATTCCTATATTCCAGATGGTCCCTTTTTAGTCCTTTTCCCCTTCATTTCCCCCACTTCTTCTTGTCCCTTTCTTTTTTACTTTTATTTATTTATATATACATATATTTTTATTTTATTTTATTTTATTATTTTATTTGTGTATTTTTATTTATTAATTAATTAATTAATTAATTTATTTTTTTATTTTATTTTTTATTTTTTATTTTTTATTTTTTTACTTTTTTTTTCAACCGTTTTGTATCTTTCATGTGGGTTCATCTACCACCGACCTCAATTAATTTGGGATAAAGGTGTTGTTGATGTTGATGTTTTGAGTGAAAATGGTTTGCATTTTTATGAGCAAATTGTAAACTGAATTCTGATT